GCGATTAGATGGCCTTCGCTACTGATTTTCTCTATTTTTGAAACCCTGCAATCCAATTGATCAGTCGCATAGATTTCCTGTGACAAGTCTGTTGTTCTTTTTTTATTCAGAACAAAGCAGATGTCGATCATTCTTTGAACTTTAGAAAGTATCTTTAAAAGTTTGGTGACGATAGCTATTACAGCGACTGAATGCATAGCGAACAAATAAACAAGCTTTCTTCTTCGAATATTTACATTAACATTTCGAGTTCCAGTGTTACATGTATGTACCACCTAACGAAAACTTCTGATTTTCAAGTTCTTTTGCATATTTCATGGTTTAGCAGAAATATTTTGGACAAATAATTCTAGTAGAAACATATTTGTGTAAGAATGCACATATTCGTTTGAATAAATAACATGAAGAATGTACAACAACGACGTATGTATTCGATTTTAGAAAGTATTCTTCAAAAATCTAAGTTCGGCAGAATCTTTGTATTGAGTCATTGAGTCTTGATGATCTCAATAACGTAACTATTTTCTAAACTATAATGGATTCAGATTATGCTGTAAGCTCATCAGATAACAATGAAAGTACAATTAGTCCTGATGAATATGAAAGTGATGAATATGAAAGTCATGATTCTGAAAATGATGATCCAATAGTCGAACAATTCAACTATAGTTCAAGGGATGAATGAAAATAGAGAACCAAAACCTCGAGTTTTTCAACTTCTCTCAATTATTTCGACGGACACGCACTACGAAATGGTATCATTCGACCAATCGATTCATTTCTTCGCTTCGTTTCCCAAGATTCGATTTAAACAATTACTGATCAAACCAACATGTCTGGCAAACAACATTATGTTCATAAATTCATATATTTGTTATACAGATCTTTCTGATAGTAACATTAGTGCAGTAGAATATACATATATTCTCTATTAGTATTGCACTGATCGGTAATTATTGTAGTAGACAAAAAAAACCAGGTAGACCCTTAGCAATCAGTAATCAGTAATCAGAAGAGGATACACATCGAAAATTGTGAAAAGCCACAATTGTTGGTTCACATGCCAGAAGTTGTCCCTACTCGTCGTAGATGTGCTTATTGTAGTACGAGAGAAAAACAGAAAAGAACAGATGTGTTTTGTAGTTTTTGCGGTGTTCGTTTATGTGTGAAAATTGTTTTTCTTTGTTTCACCGAAAGTACGAGTATTAACATTGAAATGAATGAATGGATAATCACATTAATCACTTCTTTTTTTTCGTTTCGATCTAAGTAGAAGTGGCATAACTTCATCTAGGTATTTAACAGTGTGTTCTATCGAACTTAAACTCAGTGAAAAATTTCGGAACTCAAAGGGTTCATTGACATAGCTACAAACGCAATTGAATGAATACCAAAACTACGTCCTGATTGCCAACAACGCCTGTACTAATGTGAAATGAAGTCTTGGATTCTAGAAATATTTCCAACAAAACACGAATCTGATTTAGTTTCAAAGCATAACATCAGATATCGCCACAGTATCAAAAAGTAAAACTAAATTCAGACTCATCAAAGAACTTGTCGCAGTCTCCCAAAGAAAAACATCATTTTATTGACCATCAAACAAAAGTTTCATTTCCTTTCACATGTTAGGTGACTTTTCAATGTCACCGAGCGAATAAAGCTTCAAATAGGATTCAACTCTGTAGGAATAGTCTAAGAATCAGGTCAGGGTTCATTCAGTAAACGTTCACTTATTCGTTTGATGAAAATATGTTCATTTATACAATCAGAGATTCGAAACTCTTACATCACTATGAAATCGACATTAGTTGCCAATAACGATCTGATCGATGGGCCACCTTGAGGGTGGGTGTTGCTGTTTTATTATGCATCCAGTGGAATAGCAAGAGCTTCTTTTATTCTGTATTCGGTCCTAGAAATGTCTCGTGTAGACTCTCTTCAATCAGAAAATGGCCATGGAAAGTATGCTAATCAAGGATGTGCAGGTTCTCTGCACTCGATTCTTAGTTGTTCAGTCTCTACAAACATCGTTTTTCTCTCGTGAAATGTTTATCTGACTCCATCTACTTGACTATTGTCACAATCGCCTTACATCGGACTCATTCTACAATATATTCTTCGTCATGAAAGAATGATCCTACAACACAAAAGTATTATGTGGCTGATTAAGCCCATTCTCTTAGTTCCTCAAGTTCTACACACATGACTACAAGATTCTTTTGACGATGTGTAGTCGTCAAATCAAGTCACTTTGGACGTCACTCGTCCATCTCCCTATACAACACCTGAGTGTTTCTGAAGAACATCCATCCATTCACAACTTCAAACACGTCCAATGCAGATCATTTGCGGTAAACTCTATCGATTGAACAGATTGGATGCCTAAACATGAAGTTACCACTCTCAGTCATATGAGAGCATTCGTCTTTACAATAATTAACGCATACTGACTTTACTGCAGAAGTAACGAAGATTTATGTGCTTTATTCGCTCTCTGCTATGCCAGATCTAGGATTTTGAGCGTGAGAAAGGACCGATCTCTGTGTGGGCGATAAGTGATACAGGCTAAAGAACACCTTTTCAGACGAAGTTTCTGCTAGTATAAGTCAAAANGTAATCGATGCTCTCATGAAATGTGGTGACGTCAAAAGTGCGGAAGCTGTTTTCGCTGAATCACGGCGCAAATCGATACCGATGTACGGAGCAATGATGAAAGGTATGCTTCCCCATCAGTTTATCCATATGATTTTGCTAAATGCTGCCCATTCTGTAGGATACATAAAAAATGAAATGTCGGAGAAAACGATCGATCTTTTCAAACAAATCAATGATCCGAATGACGTTACCATCACGCTTGTGATTCAAGCTCTCATGAGCTGCAATAATGTCAAAGACGCAGAAGCAATTTTCTATAGATCACCACAAAAAACTCTAGAGATGTATGGAACAATGATGCAAGGTATTATCTTCGACTTGGTCCCTATACACTGTCGCTCACTTGTACCGTCGTTGTAGGGTACATCAAAAATGAGATTCCAGAAAAAGCGGTTAGCCTTTTCAAGCAAGTCATCAAACCTGATGAAGTTCTGGTCACACTTTTGTTCAAAGCTTGTACGCAAGTGCCGTCAGAACAATCGTTGAACTTAGTGAAAAATATCTGGGAACAATATAGCACTAAACTTGTCCGTAGCGAAACTACACTAACATCCCTTATCAATGTTCTCATGAAATGTGGCGACGTCAACAATTCAGAAACTGTTTTCGCTGAATCACGAAACAAATCGTTATCGATGTATGGAGCAATGATGAAAGGTATGCTTTTCTTTTATTGTTTTCATGTGAGTCTATCGAGTTCCAGTGTTTTTCAGGATACATTGAAAATGAAATGTCGGAAAAAGCAATCGACCTTTTCAAACAAGTCGAAGATCCCCATGAAATTATCCTCACACTACTCTTCAATGCTTGTGCTCAACTACCCTCACAACAATCGTTGAGTTTGGTCAAAGCCGTGTGGAAGAAGTATCAAAACACGTCTCTTCTCCATGATCATGCGCTAACTGCTTTAATCGATGCTTTCATGAAGTGTGGAGATGTGAAGGGAGCAGAGGCGATCTTCGACAAGTTACCACACAAAGTGCTACCCATGTATGGAGCTATGATGAAAGGTTGTTCATTGTTTTCATCGTGTTCAAGAAACTCATTCGAAACATTTCATTAGGATACCTTCTCAATAAAACACCAAACAAGACTCTTGATCTCTACCATCAAACCAAAAGTAAGCGTTTCATACAAAATATTTTCATTTTGTTCAGTTTCTTCATTCAGACATGAAGGAAACACAGTCAAATTTCGTCATTTATCTACTTGCGATCAATGCATCGGCACAGATTGCCATGGCATCCCAATGTCAGGCTATTGTGGATGACATTCCACAGCATCTGCTTCTCAATATTCAGATTTGCAACTCCTTAATTGATATGTGGGTACGTCTTACATAAACAACGATACGTGAATAGTTAAACGTCTTTATTCATGGATTGTTCCAGGGTAAAGCTGGTTGTGTGCAAAAAGCTGAAGAAGTTTTCGCCAATCTTTCATCGATTGATCAAGTCGGATATGCATCAATGAGTCAGTTCTGCTATTGATTTCACCAGCACCACCTCCACCTTCCTCTCGGTCTTTATTTCTTTGTTTAGTTCATGCTTATGGCATCAATGGAATGGGTGTGAAAGCAGTCGAACTTTTCTATCAGGCTCCACGATCGTTGCTTGCTGATTCCACTTATGTTTGTGTTCTCAATGCATGTTCGCATGCTGGACTCGTCGATCAAGCTCGCTCGATCTTCACCAGCATCGAATCGAAAACAGAAAAGCATTATGCCGCGATGGTAATCGTCAAGTGACATATTCTGCTCAATCTGTCAAAGGTGACTCTGATCCTTGCTTTTCTTTTGAAGATGGATTGTCTAAGTCGAGGATCACTGTTCGATGAAGCACAACAGCTGATCGATCAATATGAACTGCATCATCCACCTTCACCTGTCATGTACAGTAAGTCAGTCGGTAGAAGAAAAACATCTATGAGAGGAGTTGTGTTTGAGAATATGCAAACAGTTCTCTTCATGATCGAAATGGATGGGTGAATGAATTGATTTCGTTGTAGTGGCATTACTATCAGCTGCAAGAAATCGAAGAAACGAACAGCTAG